TACCCCAAAAAAAAAAAAAAAAAAAACCAAAAAACTAGCAGTCTTTCTGACTCACAGAGCGGAGCGTGTTGTGTGCATGTCCTGCCAGACACTTGGCTGCTTTTAAAACTTACACACATGTACGTCACTCGCTGCCGTTTTTCAGTTTTTTTTTTTTTTTCGTTTTTCAGTTTTTAACAGAATCGTGTTGTGCTCTGTGTACTGTTCTTCATCCAGCTTTAACATATTTGTAACGATTGCATCTTTGGACATTTTTACACCTTAGGCCCATAGACCTACGGTGTAGTTGAAAATGTGGATTGTGGCGCCTGCCTGCCTGGGTTTCAGCTCCTGGCCCTGCCATGCTGCTTGCTGTGTGACCTGGGCCCAGCAGCTTAATCTCTCTGGGTTTCAGTTTTCTCATCTGTAGAAACAGCGTCCACCTGATAGAACGGATAGAATCATAGAATCGCTGTGAGGGTTTACAAAGTGTAAAACTCTCAGGACAGCCCCTGGCCCCATAGTAAGTGTGCAACAGAAATGAACCGTCACTGTCTTTCTTGTTCTTTAAAAAAACACCGGGGCTTCCCTGGTGGCGCAGTGGTTAAGAATCCGCCTGCCAATGCAGGGGACACGGGTTTGAGCCCTGGTCCTGGAAGATCCCACACGCCGCAGAGCAACTAAGCCGGTGTGCCACAACTACTGAGCCTGCGCTCTAGAGCCCGAGAGCCACAGCTACTGAGCCCGCATGCCACAACTACTGAAGCCTGTGTGCCTAGAGCCCTTGCTACACAACAAGAAGAAGCCACCGCAGTGAGAAGCCCACGCACCACAATGAAGAGTAGCCCCCGCTCGATGCAGCTAAAGAAAGCCTGCATGCAGCAACAAAGACCCAACACAGTCAAAAATAAATAAATAAATTTATGGGGAAAAAAAAAACCCAACAACTTTATCGAGCCGTAATTGACATACAGGGAACCACATTTGAAGTGTACAATTTGGCACATACGGACTATGTCTGCATCCGTGAAGCCAGCCATCACCACCATCGAGACCATCCATCGCCTTTGTAATGCCTCTCTCTTGCCCTCCCCAGGCAGCCACTGATCTGCTTTTGGTCCCTGTAGATAAGTTTGCGTTTTCTAGGGCTTGCACCACACGGCTTGCAGGATATGAGTTCTCCGACCAGGGATTGAACCCGGGCCCTCAGCAGTGGAAGCAAGGAGTCCTAACCACTGGCCTGCCAGGGATGTCCCCCATAAACAGGATCTTTTAGCATGTATTCTCCTTATTCTTTCCTAACAGTGACCTAAATAACCATCAGATTTGGACTCCACCCAGACATGCGTTAGTTTTCCCCAAGCACACAGCCTTCCTCAAGTAACTAAAACAGCTTCTGCTTTACCCCTGAAACACAATGTGTATACTGCCCTCTCATGTATTTATTTTATCAAACACGGTTCTGAGCTCAAACAACCCATGAGGCAGGGACTGTTACATTGCACCCGTTTCACAGATGAGGAAACTGAGGCTTGGAGGTGTCAGATGCCCTGCCCAAGATCACAGAGCCAGGTCTGCTCCAGAGTCCCTGATCTCAACCCCTGCACTGTGCTGCCCCCAACCTTGGAAGCATTTGCATAACTCTCTATGACCCACAGATCAAGGATCCCCCCATGTGCTGGGCCCCTAAATGCCACTGTGCCCCTGTGGGTCAAGAACAAAACTAGCCTGAAGGCCACTGCCCCGGAGTGACGGGACCCTGGATGCTGCAAATTTCGTCCCTGTCAGCAGAGACAGCACTTAACGTTGTCATGGCTAAGCATCACCCCCTTGGGATAGCCTATGGTCCCAGAAGTGTAGATGATCACAGCACACTGATTGGCCTTCTGGCTCTTTATGATCTGGTCCAGCTGGGACTCGGGGATGCTATTGCCAAGCTCCATGAAATCATCCCACTGCGGAAAGAAAAGACAAGTGAAGACCTAAATAGACATTTCTCCAAAGAAGACATACAGATGGCCAAGAGGCACATGAAAAGATGCTCAACATCACTAATTATTGGAGAAATGCAAATCAAAACTACAGTGAGGTATCACCTCACACCGGTCAGAATGGCCATCATCAAAAAGTCTACAAACAATAAATGCTGGAGAGGGTGTGGAGAAAAGGGAACCCTCTTGCACTGTTGGTGGGAATGTAAATTGATACAGCCACTATGCAGAATAGTACGGAGGTTCTTTAAAAAACTAAAAATAGAACTATCATATGACCCAGCAATCCCAATACTAGGCATATACCCTGAGAAAACCATCAGTCAAAAAGATACACTCCAATGTTCATTGCAGCACTATTTACAATAGCCAGGACATGGAAGCAACCTAAATGCCCATCAACAGAGGAATAGATAAAGAAGATGTGGTATACATATACAATGGAATATTACTCAGCCATAAAAAGGAACAAAATTGGGTCATTTGTAGAGTTGTGAATGGCCCTAGAGACTGTCACACAGAGTGAAATAAGTCAGAGAAAAACAAATATCATATATTAACACATATATGTGAAATCTTGAAAAATGGTGCAGACGAACCTGTTTGCAAAGCCAAAATACAGACAGTGTAGAGAACAAACGTATGGACACCAAGGGGGGAAATGGGAGGGTGGGATGAACTGGGAGATTGGGATTGACATATATACACTACTATGTATAAAATAGATAACTAATGAGAACCTGCTGATCAGCACAGGGAACTCTACTCAGTGCTCTGTGGTGACCTAAATGGGAAGGAAATCCAGAAAAGAGGGGATATATGTATACGTATAGCTGATACATTTCACTGTACAGCAGAAACTAACACAACATTGTAAAGCAACTATACTCCAAAAAAACAAACAAACAAAAGAACTGGAGGGTGGGGACTCAGGGTGTGTGAGTGGGGTCCTCAGCACCTAGGAGTTCCCTTCCCCAGTCGGATCTTGCCCCACCAGCTTCTCCCGAAGCATGATTCCCAGCAGGAGGAAAGGCACCTCTTACAAAAGCCCTAAGATGTTTGCTGCTTCCCCTCCACTTCCCACGCAGGCTACTCAAGCACCGATGCCTCGGTTTCCTCATAGGTAAAATGGGAATGACATCAAGACCCAACTGCTTGGGTTGTTTTAAGCAGTAAATGGGTTACTATATGTAAAATGCTCAGAACAGCAGAGTTCAATATTATTTGTGCTCTGCCTTCCCAGATGCCACTCAGCACCTCAAACTTATTAGTTACCAGATTGATGTGGCTGAGGGCCACTGTGATTGGTTTAAGCTAGAAGGTCCCATCTGCCTGGGCCACAGTGGTTAGACTGGGTCTGGGTATGTGACCTCAGGTGGTCCAATCACAGTGAAGGTCAGGGCTTTTGCTGGAAGTGCTGGGACATGAATGAGTCATCTGAACGTGAATAAGATGTAGCCATAGGAGCTGCT